ATATGTGTACATTTATGTATGTGTATAAATATATATGTATGTGTATATATAGTGCAGATGTGTAAAAAATGAAGATGATGAATGATCAATGCTAAGGCACTATCATGCAATATAAAATTATATTATCCTGAATGATGTTATTACTATTAATCTCCCTAAGACACTGCCATCTAATCTGGGTAATGCCCTTTCCCCGACGTCCCACACCAGAGCTTGCTATAAAGTAGGAAACATGCAAATAGGACCCTCCCTGTGCTGATAAAAACCAGCCCAGCCCTGACCCTGCAGCTCTAAAAGAGGAGACCCAGCCCTGTGATTCCCAGGTGTTTCTGTTTAATGATAGAGACTGAACACATAGGACTCACAGTGGAATCTGGGCTAAGCTGGATTGTCCTTGCTACTATTTTAAAAGTTGATTCTAAAAACTAGAGATATTGAGTGTGAGTGGATATGAATGACAGAAACAGAGGGGTTGTGTCTGGCAGTTTCTGACCAAGATGTCTCTATGTTTGCAGGTGTCCAGTGTGAGGTGCAGCTGGTAAAGTCTGGGGAAGACTTCGTACAGCCTGGTGTGGGTCTCTGGTATTAGTATTGCTGGTGGCATATATTATGCAGACTGTGTAAAGGGCTGATTCACCATCTCCAGACACAATGCCAAGAACACACTATACCTTCAAATGAACAGTCTGATGATTGAGGACACAGCCACTCATTACTGTGTGAGCGAAACACAGTGAGGGAAAGTCCGTGTGGGCCCAGATACAAACCTCCCTGCAGGAACGCTGTGGGGAAATCAGCTGTAGGGGGCGCGCAGGGCTCACTGATCAGCATGAACCTCAGAGGCAGGTGCAGATACAGGCTGATTTCCTGTCAGGATATGGGACATCATCTTACAGTTTCTCTAGTGAACCTCTCTAAGTTTAGAATTCTGTGCTTCCTAATCATCTTTACATATTTTTAAAAAGATAATTTTAATATGAGGACCTATTCTCACACGCACCAAATGAAGATTGATGCTTACAGAGATGAAAAGTCCTCAACCATGGTCACCAAGATCAGAGTCCTGAGGAAACTCAGGGGTGCCTGATAAGTCTTCTCCAATCAAACCCATGACAGAAATCTCAGAGAGATTCCCTGATTAGAAAAGTCTCTGTCTGTTATTCAGGGTTGACAAGATACAGATTGACATGCCATATTTCGGTGATACACAGAGGATGACAGGTTTTGGAGATGGCTAGGAATATCCAGTGTTCATAAGATCATCCAACAATAAGTACAGGCTGGAAGTTCCAGAGAGAGGTGAAGCTGCTAGATCACCATGGAACTTTATTTTCTCCAGTTCTGCTCTGATGGAATCAGGCCTGCCCGTTTTATTAGTGAAAATCTACCTAACTAGAGTCGTCTGACTACAGTTTTGTTTTGTTTTGTTTGAGACGAAATCTCCTAGCAGGAGAGATCAGGAGCAGCATGAGGTGCTCAGGATGCCAAGGGGCACTCAGGACACATCAAGGCAGGTGCAGCAGTGGGGGAAAAGCGCTGGAGATGGGGTTTGGCATCACTATCATATTTCATCACTGGACACCCTCCACTATATTTATTCTCATATACGAAATTCTTTATTAAAAACTGGCATTTATAATGCCATATTATATATGTAGGTACCATATATATATGTAGGTATAACTATGTGTAGGTGCATCAAATTGTCCTCTCCATCTTATGTGGACCTTTTCCAACAAGAATCTCACTCTCTGTATTTATTTCAGCACCTCATAAATTATGGTTAATTATGCAGGATCTCTTTCTCTTCTTTCTTTTTTCTTTCCTCATTTTCTCTCACTCACAAGCTGACACACACACAGAATTCTACAACTTCAATTACCTGATGTGTTAAATACAATTGACTAACGTGCAGCTTTTCCAGTTTAGCTGCTGTTCATATTGCTGTAAGAATAATAACATTGTGTTTCTCAGCTGTATGTTTAAGATGAGTAGCAGCTTTTAAAATAATACCCAGATACTGAAAGCAATCCAACTATCAGTCAGCAGCTTAATCAGTAAACAAATTGCTGTAAATTCATTCACTGGAAACACACCCACTGTTACAATCAGGTACTACTGAATTTGCTCAACAGCAAGGATAAATTCACAAGTATATATGATGAGTAAAATAAGACAAACAAATACAAGCACATACACACAAATTCCTCTTGTATAAATTCTATAAAATGAAAACTAAAATAAAGTTACATAAAGAAAACCAGTAGTTGACTCTAGATGTGGTATGAGAAGGGAAGGTGTAGGAACCAGAAATTATAGAAAAACAAGAGGAAATTTTAAGGGTAGTTGAGTATTTTCTAGTTGAAAAAGGTAATGGTTACGTCACTATTTGTAAAATGGTACACATTAGGGTATGGCTACTATTTGCTAATTTCACCTCATTAAAGTATTACAAATTTAAACACATACAATTTGGTAGAAAAAAAAGGTAGACAAAGATGAATAAAATATATAAGAAATAAGAAAAGAAAGTCACAGAACACTGACATAAGAACTTCACACATTAAACTGCAGAAATTTTAAATTTCTCAACACAGAATAAAAGATTTAACTGAATATATATGAGAAATCAAAGATTCCTGAATATACACATGAATAAACTCTAAGTGTACCTCTATTCTTAGGGAAATACTAGAATACAACAAAATAACATAATTTCATTACATAATGGGGGTTAATCAAATCATACCAGGCATGTCCAGCTCTGTCCTGGAGTTGATTCAGAGAACAGGTTTGTCCTGTGATTAGGGGCCATGACACTAAGCTCACAGCATCACTTCTAGTTGACACCATAAAAAGATGAAAAGATCTCAACTAAAATGCAGTGTGGACGTTACATCTGTCAGAGAGGAAGTATGAGAATTGAGTGAACCTGGGAGGTGGAGGTCACAGGGAGCCGTGATTGTACCGCTGCACTCCAGCCTGGGCAACAAGCAAGACTCTGTCTCAAAAAAAAAAAGAAAGAAATTTTCTAAAATGGACTTATTGACTTGTTGCAAAGTTATCATTATACAAAAAAAATTAATAGTAGGAGTTCATAAATATAATATTTGTTGCCTGGAAGTCTACTGAATTACACATGAAATAAGACAGCAGGTGTGCTGTGAACAGTTATTAAATGTAAAGGTTACCAATGGAACTTAGAAATAATAGACCTAACTTCTAAGGAGTCAGATCGATGGTTACATAATAAATATGTAAAATAAATAAAAACAAGTGTTTAAAAATCTTAACAGGGAAGCCACTATAGTGGCAGTCCCAGCACTTCAGGTTTCTGTGTAAGAAAGCCAGAATGCAATAAAAATAGAACAAACAAAACTAGATTTTACCAATCAGAAATTTCCAATTAACCTTCAACTAAAATATAATCCTTTTAAAAACTACTTTTACAAAATATCTATGACCAATTTATCCATGACAAAGTTCACAGTGCCGTAAGTAAATAATGTCTTACACTGGCACTAGTGGTGCCAAGTCTATTGGACATTCATACACTCACACAGGAAAAATCTTAATTCTTATTTCAAGTCATACACATAAATTGATTATAGATGATTGTAGTTCTGAATGCAAAAGCTAAAATTATAAGGCTCTTAGAAGAAAACATGAGAGACATATGTATTATAATGGCAAAACTTTAAAAAATAGAAACCAGGTCCAGGTGTGATGGCTCATACCTGTAATTCAAGAACTTTGGGAGGATTCCTCAGAAGAATCGCTTGAGGCAAAAAACTCAAGACCAACCTGAGCAACATAGTGAGAACTCGTCTCTACAAAATAAATAAATAAATAAATAAAATAGCTGGGCAGGTGGCATGCTCCTGTGGTCCTACCTACCTGGGAAGCTGAGGTAAAAGGACTGCTTAATTCCAGAAGTTTGAGGCTACAGTCAGCTACGACAATGTCAATGCACTTCACCAGGGTGACAGAGTTAAACCCTATCTCATACATACATACATAATACATACTAAATTAATTGATAAAAATAACCAGAAAGTCATAAAAAAGAAAAAATGATGTGTGACTACGTTCAATTTAATAAATTATAATTATCAAAATTAAGGAAATAAAAAAGAAAACTACATGGCAAAAAAAGACATTGCTATTCATATGTATGTCTGGCAAAATACTTTTATCCAGAATGTACAGAGTATTTGCAAATAAGAAAAAGACAATGCAATGTAACAATGCAAGTCTTAAACTGATACTTGAAAAAAATTAGCTTCAGATGGCCATTAAACATATAAACTGACATCAAATTTATTAGTTATCAAGGAAATACAAATTTTATCTCAATGCGGCTTAGTTACATAGCCACCAAAATAACTAAAATAAAAAAGGAAAACATACTAAATGTTTGACAAGATGTAGAACAAATGAAGCTCTCATGCACTGCTGGTGGAAATGTAAATTGTAAAAACCAAATTAGAAAACCATTTGGCAGTAAATACTGAAGATGAACATACACATAACCTATAATCTAGCACTTTTTCTACATCTCTAATATACATAAATGTGACTATCTTGGCACCAAAGACACGTATAAAAAAGGTTAAAAGCAAGAGGAGTATTCATTCATAATAGTCCCAAACTAGACACAATCAAAATTTTATCAACATTAGAATCTGATATTGTATAATGGAATACAATAGAGCAATAAATATAGATTATGGATGAAAAAGAAGCAATGCCACTAAGAATGTTGAGTGAAAGAAGCCAATCATAAAGAGTACATATTGTATGAGCCCATAAATAAACTTCATGAATAGACAAAACTACTTAATGGTTTTAGAAATAAGGGTAATATTTGCACTTGGTGGATTAGCAGAACTACAAGAGGGCATCCAGCTTCCTAGCAATCCATGCTTCCTTTAATTTTTACTTCCTTTTTTTTCCTTCCTTCCTTCTTACTTTTCTTTATTCCTTTTTTTTTTCTTTTAGATTTTTCCAACCACAGAGTTTATTAGTGAAGTATCTCAACAATTCTCAGGGCAATAAAAACCAAGGTATCCCAACACTGCATGACTAGACCAGCTAGAAGTCCTCAGCTTGTACCTGTCCACATGGCCGCAGGTGGCAGTGTTGAGTCCTCTAGAGTCCGGTTTCTGGGCCTGTGTGGCCTCATTGATGAGTGAGCTCCATGACAGAGCCTCTGGAGACAGGACAATCGGCTCTGAGGGTCCTTTCATGTCCGATCCCCTTAGCATTCGGAGGGAGCAACGGGAACTGGAACGGCAGTGCAGGCGTCAGCATGAACAGGGGTCTTAATGCTGTGCGGCCTCTGGGTGGCCTCAGCCACAGTGGGAAGGACTGTCGGTAAACCTGGGAACTCGAGGTGTCCCATGCTCACTTGGGAAAGCACTAATAACCTTCCCCATGGGGAAACGATGCACAAACACAAGGCTCAGTCAGTCATTTCCGCAGAGAAATTTACAGTCATGAAAAGGGTAATCAATAAAGAGATCTCTGAAGCCGCTGCGCAGAGACTACTGAGCGTGCAGAGACTATTGAGGGCCCCGAGAGCAAGTGCAAAGCTCAGTTGAAAAGAAACGCGGGGCGGCTGAGTGAGCTGCTCACTGCTTGGATCACCTGCACGTGCGGCCAACATGTCCCAACTACTTTGGTCGAGGTGGCTCTTTGCCTTGAAGTGGAGGCTGCTGGGCTCTTCCACCGCCTCCTCCTCTCCAGAGTCCTGCTTCTCCCTCTGGGCTTCGATCCACCTCTGTGGTGCGATCATTTTCTTCGGCCCATGGGGCGTTGGGCCAATGAGTGCCTCAATGTCCTCATAGTTTATCACCTCCTTTTCCAGAAGGGCATTTGCCAGCACCTGCAGCTTGTCCAGGTTCTCCTGCAGCACCTTCTCGGTGTATCTGCAGGCCTTGGCCACCAGCAGTCTTGCTTCATGATCCATCATCTGCTGAGGGCCTTGGCTGAAGGGGAGCCGCCCGATGCCCATGAGGCCCTCCTGTGCCTCAGGGAAGGAGATGGGCCCGATGTCAGGTACCATCCCAAGCTGCTTCACCAGGGAGTAGGCAATGCGAGTGACCTTCCTCAGGTCATCCTGTGACCCGGAAGTGACCCTGTTGAAGGTCACTGCTTCCGACGCCCGGCCCTAAAGGGCCGTGCATATTCGCTCAAACAGCTGCTCCTTGGTGAAGAGGTGCTGGTCTCTGGGGAGCATCTGAGCAAAGCCCAGGGCGGCATTTGTCCGAGGCGCTACGGAGACCCTCATCACGGCCTCCGTGTGCTCCAGCATCCAGCCCACCAAGGCGTGGCCCGACTCGTGAAATGCGACCACTTTCTGTTCTTCCTTAGACAGGATCTTGCTCTTTTTGGCAGTCCCTGCAAGGACGCGCTCCACGGCGTGCTCGAAGCTGAGTGTGTGCACGGACGTGTGTCCCTCCCGTGCCCCGTGCAGCGCAGCCTCATTGCAGATGTTGGCGATGTCAGCCCCACTGAATCCTGGAGTCAGCTCTGCCAGACGCTGGGAGTAAAAGGTGCTGGCCTGGGTCAGCTTCAGGCTCTTCAGGTGCTGCTCGAAAATCTCCTGTCTCTCCTGCAGCGTGGGAAGATCAAGAAGACTTGCAGGTCCAGTCGGCCCGGCCTCATCAGAGCACAGACCCAAATGTCGGCTCGGTTCATGGACGCCAGGACGATGACATGGTCTGTGGTGCCCATTCCGTCCATTTCCACCAGAAGCTGGTTGAGCGTCTGCTCCTCCTCGGTGTTGGAGAAGCCGGACGTGGTGGTGGAGCGCTTCTTGCACACCGCGTCGATCTTGTCGATGTAGATAATGCAGGGAGCCCGGGCTTGGGCTTCCTTGAAGAGAGGCTCCACACATGGGTAGCACCAAGGCCTCCAATGATCTCCATGAACTCCGGGCCAGCCACTGCCAAGAAGGGCACCTGGGCCTCTGTGGCTACCACCTTGGCCAGCAGGGTCTTCCCACAGCAGGGGGCCCGAGCAGCAGCGTGCCCTTTGGGACCTTGGCGCCAAGCTGGAGGAAGCGCTCTGGGCTCTTAGATAATCCACAAACTCTCGCACTTCCAGCTTGGCTTCGTGCATTCCTGCCACGTCTTTGAAGCTGACCCCTTTCCCCATCTTCCCATCCACAATAGTGAAAAGAGCCATTTTAAGCTGATTAAAAGCACTGAATCCACCTTCCCTTCTGGTCATTCCAGGCAGGCGGAAAATGTACCTTTCTTGAACTAAGGGCTGGTTATATAGGTATGATGCAGAATTTTGTAACATTTATCAAACCATATAATTATAACATGTATTTTAATATAAGTATAATATACTTTAATATAATTTTAAAGATTAGCCCTAATATTCTTCTTAGCAATTAACAAGATACAAATTATAAATAAATACCTACAAGGATTTTATATTTCTTTTTTTTTTCAATTCCAAGCCTCTTCCTTTTCTTCATATTTATTAAACCTTTTTCATTTCAGTATTCATGTCGAAGACTTTGAAAATTATCCAGCTGGGTGCAGCTTACATCTGTAATCTCAGCACTTTGGGAGGCAGAGGTGGGCAGATAACCTGATGTCGGGAGTTTGAGACCAGCCTGACCAACACAGAGAAACCCCGTCTGGACTAAAAATACAAAAAATTAGCAGGGCATGGTGGTGCAAGCCTATAATCCCAGCTACTCTGGAAGCTGAGGCAGGAGAGTTGCTTAAAACCAGGAGGCAAAGGTTTCAGTGAACCGAGATCATGCCATTGCACTCCAGCTGGGGCATCGAGAGCAAAACTCTGTCTCAAAAAAAGAAAAGAAAGGATGAAAGTTATCCAATGAAAAGTGTACCTGATCTTTACAAGGAAGCCCAGACTCTAAATGTATCGCTCTTACAATATTAATTTATTAATTTTCTGTGATAATTTTTGACATAACAGACTTAGAAGTTAGGTAAATTAAAATATACTTTCATTTCTCATAAAAGAATGATGTTAATGTTCTTGACAAAAGACTAGAGACTCAAGAAAGCATTTATTTTCATAAAGGCATTAAAAATAATGATAAAATTAATTGTAAGAGCTTTTCCAGAAATAAGGATATAATTTCTGTCAAAAATATTTAGATTTGAATAACTTCAATTTTATAGCATTTACTTTAGTATTAAAGTAAAAGTATGATTAATGATAGTCAATTTTCTTTATTTTAAAAAGAAGCAGGGGAGGGCAAGATGGTCAACTAGATCAGTGAGGTAGAACAGCTCCCACCAAGGGACTGAGATGACAGGTATGAGGGAAAGTGCTGAGAGTGGACAGAAGGAAGACACAGAAGCTGGGCTTAAGGGGGAGAAAGCTGGGAACAATCCATGGGGGTACTATACACTAAGACTCATTTTTGTACCACAACAGCTCCAGGAGAACAAGTGAGTTGAACTGGGAAGAAGCAATCCACTCTCACTATAGGCCTCTGGAACCCCAGGAAGAGACCCCTTGATCACCAGGGACACTTGAGTTGGCAAGGAGAGCTACTGCCCCTTAGAGCTGCAACCCCTACTTGGTAGGGATAGCAAGCCAGTTGATGTAGAGCCCAGAGGGTTTGATGCAGAAGTATCTGTAGCAAAGTGTGGACTTGGACAGCCATCCCCATAGGCTCAACTTGCTCTAGTAGGAGACTTTAGCAGCCCTTGTGAACTGTTAGATCAGATCTCTGCAGGGCGGTCTTGCCTATCAGATGGCACTGGTCTGACCTGAGCATCCCATGGTCTGCTGGCCTTTCCTGGGGCCCAAGCCTAGCCATGCCTGCTTGCAGAGCAGCCTTTGATGTCCTTGGGGCCCACACCATAGCTTTTGCACTGATGCAGTATTCCTGAAAGGTGCAGAGCTCCATGAGATGACCTCTACGACCACATACAAGCTTATCTGTTTCCTCCTTATACTGCAACTTCCCCTGGGGCCATGGTAGCTTCCCACATCACATTTCTGGTACATGTCTGTATGGGTGGGTTTTACTTTCATTGACCACCAGCACAGGAGTACAGTCCACCCTCCTGTACTCCCTCACCAACCACCATTGCAGATTTAGCCTTGGCAGGTACAGAGCTAGCAAGCCCACTCACACTAGCACCCTATCCTTGTACTAACACTACACAGAGAACAGCAGATCCTCCCCCTGAGTAATCACTCAATACTTGTGGGGCACAGATTAGGCACCCAGATCTGCATCACCAGCACCTGGGCCCTGAGCAAACACCATCTCCAGCACAATGGCACACACAGTCTGCAGTAAGTGTTCCCACCACTTTAAACCCCCGAATGTGTTGCCTCCACCACTCTAGTGAACGCCTACAGCACGGCAGGCACCTCAGCACCCACTAGCACTCTCCTGAAGCTGCTGCACCTCACGCCTGCATCCAGTGCAGAAGCATATTCCAAACTTCCAGGAGCTAGAAAACAACATTGGAGTCAAATACAAGTCTCCCAGAGAGCACAAAGTCCAAGATTTTGGAGCTGACCGCTAGCCCCCTAAAATCTTCCAGAAAGTTGGCTGAAGCCACATTTTACCACAATGAAATTCTAAAGGCCATCAAATACAATGAAATTTTGAAACACCCATCCAAACGTCAGCAACCTCAAAGACTAATGGTAGATAAACCCACAAAAATAAGAAAGATTCAGTGTAAGAACCCTAAGCACTCAAAAAGCCAGAGTGCTTTCTTTCCTCAAAATGGCTGTGTCACTTCTCTAGGAAGGGTTCTAATCCAAGCAATATGCATTGAAATGAAGATCATTGAGCTACAGGCATGCATAGAAACATAATGCAAGGAAGCTAAAAATCATGACAAAACTGCAGGAGCTGACAAAGAAAATAGTCAGCATAAGAAAGAACATAACTGATGTGATAGAGCTTAAAAACACATTGCAATAATTTTATAATGCAATCACAAGCATTAATAGCAAGTGATTATATTATATGCAATATATTAATATAATACACCAAGTGGAGAAAAGAATCTCAGAGCTGGAAGACTAGCTTTCTGAAATAAGACAGATAACAATAGAGGAAAAAAAGAATTAAGAGGAACAAAAAAATCCAGGAAATATAAGATTATGTTAAAAAAATGAACCTATAAAAGAAATGGGGAGAATTGAAACAATTTGGAAAACATTTTAGGATATAATCCATAAGAGCTTTCCCAACCTAGCTAGAGGGGTCAACATTCAAATTCAATAAATGCAGAAAGGCCCAGTAAGATGCACTGAAACAAGATTATCCCTAAGATACATAATCATCAGATTCTTTGAGGTTGAAATAAAAGGAAACCTGTTAAAGAAAGTTGGAGAGAAAGGTCAGGTAACCTACTAAGGGAATCTCATCAAACTAAAACTGGACATTTCAACAGAAATCTTACAAGCTGAAAGAGATTGGGGACCAATATTTGACATTCTTTTTTTTTTTTTTTTT